CCATTAAGATGGTGTTGCAGCGAACAAAAAAGGATGGTAATCTGATGGTGTCATATCTGGAGAATATAGTGGGTGGGGGAGAACTTCTTAACCCAACTCCATAATCTTGTGTTGTGTCAAACGTGCCACACATGGACGTGCATTGTTGTGAAAAAGAACACCTTCCTGATTGATGAGTGAAGGACGTTTCTGATGAAGGACTTCATTTAAATGTTCCAGTTGCTGACTATAGATCACTGCATTGACCATTCGCTGTGGATTGTTTAGTTCGAAATGAATTATTCCTTTGATGTCCCACCAAATGCAAAGCAGCACTTTTCAGGGTCTGAAGTGATTTTTATTTAGGACTGAGCCATTGTTTTTGGTGTTTAATATTCGCTTAGAGAATCCATTTTTTCACCACAGGTGAAAATTGTGTCCAGAAATGGTTTGCACTCATTACACACCAGGAGAGACGAAGCAACATTCACACGTTGGAAACGATGATCACTGGAGAGTTCATGAAGCCCCAAACACCTTCTTTATGGAGTTTCCAATATTCCTTAGATGTTTACGTATTGTTTCATGAGAGACATGCAATTTCAGGGCCATTTCACAATTGTGTTGCCTTGGGTTAGACTCATCAAGCGTCTTCAGAGCATCAATATTAATTCCAACATGTCGACCCTTGCCATCACAGTTTTTAAGGCTCAAGTCACCTAAACGAAATTTGCTGAACCATCGTTGACACTTACAAACATTAAAAACATTTCCATAAACTTCTTTGATATTCTTAGTGGCTACAGAGGCATTGTTTCCTTTCTTGCATTCAAACAGCATTACATGCCGATTGTGTGTCTCATCTTGTACCATCACTATAAGGGATTAGAGTATACTAAGCCCATATAAGAGAACAGATTTTTAGTACACTTTAGAATGTCAAGCATTACACAACATGTTTTTACAGAAATGTATCATCAGAATTACAACCTCTGATAATCAATAGAGCTAAGGATGAGCATCAACTATGAATTTGAAAGATTCTGGCAATTGCTAAACAAAAACCAATCTTAAATCAACAGTATTTAGTATTTCTGCTTTTCTTCAAATTGTAAGCTTGTTCCCATTTTTGAATGAACTTCTAATTATTGGAAACCAAAGGAATATGGATCAACTTGAGGCATCAAAACGATCCAGAAAGAGACCTGCAACAAGTTGCACCCAAATTGTAGGTGCTGAAAAATCACTCTTCTTGTCCACTAGATGTATAGTGGAAAACTATCAGAGAATAGTGGTGTGCTTTAGACATGACAACCTTATGATGGAGCTTTTTCCAATGGAAATTACACTAAAGGGCTATTATCAGGTAGAGCATAATTGGATATGGTGACAAGGATTGTAACAATATGGTAAGGTTCCAAAATCGTTTTAATATAATATACTTAACCTCTGTGCTAGTCTAATTATATTCTAACTGTATATTTTGCTTAAAATTATAATACTCTTCAAAATTCATCCATCAAACAATATTCCAATGGTATGTATTTTTTGGGGAATAAGTCAAATATTAAAACAAATACAGTGCATAGGAACAAAAGCTGTTACAGTTAATCATTGGAACCACAAATACCATAGCAATATCAGAAAAAAAATTGTGCCATCTATAAATAATAAAAATAAAACAAAACATACTCCAGGAAGTCCAGGTGGGCCACGTAAACCTCTTAAACCTTGTTCTCCTGGTCTACCAGGGTCACCTTTCATCCCAGGAAGCCCATTTAACCCAGAAAGTCCACTTTCTCCTCGATCTCCCTGTTTAAGGAAAGAGTTCAAAATCTTGCAGAACAGTTATGAACAAAAAACTAATGAGTATACCCATGAAATATGTATAGCAAACAATTTCTAAAAAAAAAAAACATGTATGCACTACTACTCAATTTATGTACATATCATTAAAATAAGCTTCTTAAGAGAAGTTTAAATAATTTATGAATTTTATATATACACCTGGAAAAAAGTTAAGCACACCCAAATATTTTTCAGGATTGCTTATTGAAAAT